CACTGTTTGCATTGGAATGAATAAATTCCGTTTCAACACATATTCATGCGTAATTTTTTGCGTCCATAGATGTTTGGTCAGTCTTTTTGTCTTCAATAATATACGCGTACTAGCTTATTACGGATTTTAACAATTGTTTTTCATTTGCGGAAAAATTAATGTACCTTTTTCACTTTCCGAAACCACTCATTTTACTGTGTTCTATTGTTTCAGAAATATATTTTACAAAATTCTTGACTATGAAGACTAGAGAGTAGGCTACGGTGAAATTTAACATTTTCGTCCTTTTTATAAAGTTCGCCAAATTGAGTGTAGTTGGCGGGTCAAACATTAGTGACGTTAATTTTCTGTGTAAGTTAATGTGAAATTAAGTGTTTTTTTTAATTGGTTAACAAAATCAAAATAATGTAAAAAAAGTATCTGAGTGACAAAAAAACAGTAAGATTTACTTCGTTCCAGATTGTAAAACGGGATATAAATCGGATGTAAAATTAAAGAAAACACAAGGATAGGGTCCGATTACAATTAGAAGAACACAGCTACGTCATAATTATTACTTCGAATTTCGAATACATATTATCTATAACTATCAATAAATAAAAAATAAGTAAGCTGTTAGGTATAGGTATAGTATAGGTATCCTATAGTTCTATAATATTAACACTCCACTAAACCACCAGTAGGCGGCGATAACCAATTAATTACTTTTCCAAATGGTGACGTAACTGTGTTCTTCTAATTTTACTCGGACCCTACATCATTTCAAAATCTTTTTAACACGTTAAGCGCCATGGGGGTCCCTAGGGACCGCTGAGAATGTTAGGAGGCAGGGCCACAGCGGTCCATTGGACCGCCGGTACGCACATTACTTTCGGTCGCTGTGCAGGCTGGTGGACCGCCTTTAATTCAACTTTACCAGGAAGCATGGACCGATATGTCCTGTGGGCAATAGTCGGCAGTATTGGGTTTAAAAAATACTGATAGGAAAGTTTGTTACACACTAATGTTTTAACAACAATATCTATGTGTATGTGTTGAAATCTACCTTCTGGAATTGAAATGTCGCCACACTCAACAAAGGACATAAAGGAATATATTTCTTTAAAATAAGTTTACACATATTTTCGTTGCAATAAACGTTAGTTATACTACAGTTGTATCCAGTGTTGCCAGGTATTATTAACCTTCACGCGTCAGTTTTACCAAAAATTACGCCACCAAAGTGCCACCTTTTAGGTTGGCGTAAAAACTATTAAAATTTTTAAACATCGGCTAAAACTCATGGATTATTTTTTTTTTTTTCATAGATACCACATTGGTAATTTTGAAAAATCAGTTATTGATCATATAAAAACAAGCCTGTAGATTTTTTTGTTAAAAAATATAATATAACCAACAATTCTACAAAATACTTTTTTAATAAAACTAATAACAATAAAAAAAATATATAGAATTTATTGCACAAACATAACAAATCTGTACCTATTGAGTTTAGATATAAATATAAGAAACAACAAAAAAACGTTTCTTTCTGAAGCCACTCTGACCACAGTTCCAAAACGGTGATTGTTGCGGTATCTGTACGCCAGAGTCAGGAGTTGTAAGGCTTGAGTGGTACGAAAATACTCAGCTTGAGGTTGAATATGCTCCATAGGGTTTTGTAACAACCAGTTAGTTTAACTACTTGTTGTCATTATACTATTAAGGGATAAAGGCAGCACCGTCACCAGCCCTAGGGTCCTGGAGTCCTGAAAGAACATCTATTCGCCAGTGGCAAAAGAAAATAAAAAAATAAAATAAAATACAAAAAAACGTCCCTTTATAGTATATGTCGAGCGGTTTTGGCAACTGACTTAAGACTCTCAAGTCCTTAAGGGTAGTGATTAATTATGTTAAAACGAATGTAAATAACTTATCCACCTTTTATTTTATTTATTTTATTGAATAAAAACACTTATTACTAACGGAGCTACAAAATTGTTTTTATCGGGTGGCGGTTGTACAGCAGAGAAAGAGAGAGAGTGAGTGCCTCGCTGGCAGCCAAACAGGAACACAGTTGTGCGGGGTTGCACGACTTCGCGCACTATCCAGAAAATCAGGAAATGTCTTTCTGATCTTAACATACCGCCCACCTTGAAAGCATGTAGATAATGCTTTCAATTTACTAGTTACTTTAAATTAAATTAACAAATGCAAATCAAAGCAAGAATAAACAAACACATGAATATAATAAGTCAGTAACATTAAAATGATTAATATAACCTTTGTTAAAATAACAACAAAAAAGAAAAAATTCGACATATAAAAGGTCTATTAATTTTGGCGATACAGCGTTTAAATATCCCATTTACGGTTTTCACAGACACCACTCTAACAACACCGTCACTGCCGGGATGAATGTCGATGACGCGTCCCATGTTCCACTGTAGGGGATGAACGTTGTCCTCCTTGAGAATAACAAGTTGGTTGACCTGCACGTCAGGCGATTTCCTTTACCACTTGTTTCGGGACTGCAATTCGTGCAAATATTCCTTGTTCCATCGTGACCAGAAGTCTTGAAACATCTTAGTGAGCATATGAAATCGTGATAGCTTGTCTATATTTTGTTCTGTTAGGTCAAGGTCTGGTAGAGTGTGAAGAGGACCTTCAATCAGGAAATGAGCGGGGGTTAGTGGCAAAAGATCATCAGGATTGTCGGATATTGAGGAAATAGGACGAGAATTCACACATGATTCAACCTGACACACCAAAGTATTTAACTCTTCAAGGGTGAGAATTTTGGATCCGACGACTCGTTTTAAATGATACTTTACGTTTTTTATTGAAGCCTCCCAAATTCCGCCCATATGGGGAGAACGGGGTGGTATAAAATGCCATATTATTTTTAATTTTAGCAATTCTTTTAAAATTTTTTTGTTTGAAGTTTTAAGAAATCGGTAAATATCATTAAGCTCGTTTTTTGCACCTACAAAATTCGTAGCATTGTCACTATATATATTTGCAACTAAGCCCCTTCGTGACACAAAACGCTTGAAAGAATTTAAGAATGCTTGGGTAGCGAGATCGCTTACCACTTCTGTATGTATTGCCTTTGTTGAAAGACAAACGAAATCGCAAATGTAAACCTTTAAAAATGTTTTTGCACGTGTATTATGCATTTTGATATTTATAGGACCAGCATAATCCACACCAGTTTGTAAATGGTCTGGAAGGGGTTATTCTCTCACGGGGTAATTTTCTCATCAAATTTTCAGTATTACGAGGATTACATCGAAAGCAAATAATAAATTTTCTTAAAATACTTTTTACATTATTTTTGCCATGAATGGGCCAAAACTCTGTCCTTATCGCAGCAAGTAGAGCCTGCAAGCAGCATTTTTTTATGAAAATGAGAAATTATCAAGTCAGTGAGCGGATGTTTGTTTGGTAAAATAACAGGATGTTTTTGAGAAAAAGGAACCATTGCGTTCTGAATTCTTCCGCCCACCCTGAGCAAATGGTTTTCGTCGAGGAACGGATTCAAGGAACGGATTTTGTTTTTTGGAGAAACCGATTTTGATAACCTGATAGCCTTGATTTCATCAATAAAGCATTTTGACTGTGCTAACTTAACCAATACATTTAACGACATTTGTAATTCTGATAGATTCAAAGTGGATGATACAGGGTTGGATCTTTTAAATGTTTTGAATCGAAGTATGTATGCTGTTACTCTTTAAAGTTTTATTAATGAAGAAAACTTATTAAATATCTCAAAATCTGAATTTACATTTAGAAAAACTTGGTTTTGTTTTCTTTTTTCGGGAATGTCTATTTGTAATGAGATTTTAGTAGAAAGCCACTTGTTCTCATTTAAGATAAGCCAAGAGGGCCCATTCTCCCAAATGGGAGTATTTATTAATTGATCTGGTGTTGTTCCTCTAGACAACACGTCTGCAGGGTTATTATGTGTTGAAACATGATGCCATGAGTGTGCATCTGTAAGTTCATGAATTTTAGCCACTCTATGACTAACATAAGTTTTCCACAGTTTCCGAGTTTTAAAAGAAACTCGACTTTTTACCTTAGAGATTATTCACACGATTTATCCTTTATTTACTAGTACAATGAACTATTTCTAATTGTTTGGTTTTAATAAGTATGTTGTGTTATATTATATTAAAAATATTAGATATTTTTGGGATTTTTGTTAAATTCTTTATATTTTAAAAATAATAATGCTAATTATTACAGTTTAAAGGATGTGGATGTTTGTACCCTTCCGTAGAATCTTTATAAGCCAACTCAGGTTCGAGTAATCGACATGTATTTGTGAGAGGGGGTACGAATTCTTGAATTCGTATTGAAGTTTCTCTGCAGCTCGGGTCAGTTTGGTTAATTCGGATAAAGAATATATATTCGGATGTATCGCAAGTTGCGTCTGAATTTAGGGCAGAAAGTTTCTTCGAATCAACTCGTTCCGACTCTGAGGGAGGGTTGGATTCCAACTTCTTAAGAAGGTTTTCTATTGAATAGATGTAAATTATAACTTTTTCTTTCGCACCTTGAGTGCGTCGGCGAATCTCTTCCCACAAAACTTGTTGATAGTCGTAGGGTAGGAAGTCTTCCTTTAACTCCTGTACCAGTTCTTCCCACGAACTAGATTCGTGCATACGATACCAAAACAGAGCATGCTTTGTCAATAACTCAGAAGTAATTGGAGTGTAGAGACACCTCTAGAGATCCTCAGTTCTTTTATTCTCCCTACGAAATTCGTTTCACTGATTTCCCCATCAAAAGTCAATTTCCGCTACTTCAGAATTTTGATTACCACTATATTTTGTAGTTCTTGAGCCGTTTTGTAGTTCAAAATTTCTTAGCCTAGACTCTAATTCTTGATCGGTATTAAAGGTACCTAGACGATCAGAAATGTCGTTGGCTCTGAGAATACCACTATCTAATGAGTCCCCAAAACATTTAAATTGCGTAGGGAGATTTGACTGCGAAACGGACTCTATTACCACTAGCACCATGCTTCAAAGTGCTACGCCTACCCATAATGGGAATAGAACTTGAAAACGGTGGTAGTCTAACAGTAGAAAGTGTTGTGAGTGGATAAAGCATATTATTATACAAGTATGTCGGTCCTTGATAATACCTGGTGGGTGAAAGTGTCCTAGAGGCTATTGATGAAGGTAATGAACTAGCCACTGAATAAATTACCATTGGATCTGGTTCCTGGGTACCTGAAGACATAATACCTCCAGAGAAACTTGTGTCGATGGGATGTGGTTGGGAAAGCGAAGGGATAAGAGGAATGGGATCATGTATTAAAGATTTTTTTACCTCTACATCTCTATCAAGTATACTCGGATTAGCATTATCTTGCTCCAAATCAAAATTAGAAACGAGTGCTTGTGCCTCATCAAATAACTGTAAACACCTTGTCATTAACCCATGACGAGTATGTTCCTCCATACTACCCCCTAAATTTAACCTTTCTAGTCTAAGTCTTACATGAGTTGAATATTTTTTTATATTCGTTAGAAGAATTTAAAGTATCCAAATTCCAAATATCATTTGATAAAGCCACTAGCTTTTGGTTACAAACTTTAAATTCCCTTATAGGCGGCAAATCAATACAAGTTGGAGCACCAGCAGTCACCGAACTCGCTTCCAAGCGTAATGCACTTGCTAATCTAGCTCTATTTTCCGGTACGGTACCCCTCGAAGGTAAATTCTGAATATACAACTCGTATACCAATTCGTCTGATAACAATCTGTATATATCCATAATTTTAAATAAATGTATAACTAAAAACTGACTATACCTATTTATACACCCGTTTTTTATTTCCTTGTCCTAATTCCATAAAATGGTATTTTTCATCCAAAGAGCTTGCTTTAATAAATTTAAAATAGTAGTAAATAAGTAATATGAGAACGTCAGTATCTACAGATTTCACCAAAACTTTATTTGTTGTCAAGTATCTGATATTCATATAAAACAGGGAGTATAACTCGCGTATCAGCCTCATCATGATTCGATTTCAAATCGTTCAATTTGATTATACCATCCTTGTTAACAGAAAAGCATAACACTGGATTTTCAAAACCACCAGCCATGATTAGAGTTTCTTCTATTTGTAAGTGATCAGCTGAATGTTCCAGAAGGTAAGCGCTCACAAATTTTAATAGGCATCGTTCATTTTCTGACAATCTTAAAAAATTCCTGAACTTCACCACTTTTCTATTTCCAGAAACTTCATGTGTATACGCATCTGTGAAATCACCTCTTCTATGTCTTTCCAATGACTTGACCGATTCATCATATTTATCAAAAACCACCGTTATCCTTAGTGCTTCATACTTTCGGCTAAGTGAAAGAATTTGCTTTAAAAACCTAAATGGAAGTTCCTTAAAAGTGGAGAACGCTTTCTCATTAAGCCCTTGAATAAGTACCATACCATCTATTATAAGTGAATTCACAATTTAAGGTAAAGCAAGAGCTCCCATATGGTTCAAATTTTGATACTAAATCAGTCTTAGCTGTTTTTCGCATACTTTCGTCTTCGTCAAATAAGCACAACGGAACCGAAGTTAATTCATAAGACAATAAGTCGCTTAAATTTAGAGACTGAAATCTAGCTGGCGCTACTACACTTCTAAACATAACCTCTGTTCCGACATATTTTTTTAGGAAACATGGCGTTTTTTGTTTTGATTTCCGCAAATGTAGTTATCTTTTCTTATTTATGGGCTCCCAGAAACTTTTAAAACCAGTAATAAGAACTTTTTCAATGAAATGCTCGCATTTGCTTTAAGCAGTCTCGATGAAATTTGGAAGGTTTGGCTAAATTTCATCTGAAGCTTTTCTCCCTGTGCATATATTTATTAGAAAATAAGGAATATCAGATACATTAAATGGATTGCACCATTCTGTTTTAATATGCGTAGTAATTTTAAGAACGTCACATTCATTCCCATTTCTTAAAGAAACACCTTCGTTACGTGTCCTGCTTGCGTTGTCAAAGAATACATCTAAAAAATAAGAACAATCAAATTAGTACTTCTTCTCGTAAAGGCAAGGAGCTTTTACCTTCAAAACGTTGTGCATATGATCCTACAATGTAACGAGCATCCACCTTAAAAGGGCAGTAAGTTTTTGCGTAAAACCGCCTACACCCGACGAACTTTTGCAATCTCTGTTAATCGGCTGTTCCAAAGCCATGTCGGAAGCTACACTATTAAATTTTTTTCTGCTGTCTTTACTAAAAAAAATTCCTCGTTTTAGGTATTCATGCATCTGTGGATTCTTCGACTTAAGCTCTAACATATCTTTCAGATATATGGGCACCCACTTTGCATATAGATGTCTTTCACCGGCTACTAAATATGGTAAAAGTTCTTGGGTACATTTCAAATGCAATTCAAAATCCGCGGTCCGTTCTCTGAGAAGATTTAATAAGAGATCAACAGCTTTTAAAAAAGAAAGCCAGTAGCCAAATGTGGTTGATGCATTTTCACCAATACTTTTAAATTGTGTTACTTTTTCCTTCAATGGTGCAATCTTGTTTAGCATGTCCTTTAATGAGTCTTCGTTGAATCGTTCGGTTTTTAGTTCTTCTAACGTAACCTTCTATTCTTGGTCGCGGCTCTAAAATAAATAATTTATTAATATTGTAAAAAATAAATAAAAATTTCTGAGCTACACAACCCATGGGTCCCCTAATATTAAAATCGTCATCACTCGAATCAGTGGAGGAATCTATTAAAATAAAAGCTAGCCTCCATTAAAATAAAGTAAACTAACGAAAAAACTAAACTAAACACTAAAATAAAACGAGTTTTAAGAGACAAACGAAAATCAGAATGTTTTGACAAGAGTGACAAGTGATAACCGTTCCGTAAATATTTTCAGTTTCAGTTGTCAAATAGAGAACCGGCCTGAAAACAGTGTTAACCAGTTTTTAAGGTATCGGCTATTAACGGAACATTATAATTATTGAATTATACCCCAAATAGAGAAGTTTTAAACGCTAAGTGTACAAAAGTATTTTTTAACCATGTTTTGAGATTTAAACTTTTTCTTATTTTTTGAAAAATGATCTACAATTGACATGTGCTGTTTCTCAAATGACCGATTTATTTCAGGTAAAATGCAAAAGAATATGGCTCGTGCTCACATACTTTGACACTGAATGATTTACCATTAATAAGTTCACAATTGTCTATTGGTTTTAACAACGATTCAAAGTCTGCATAAATGACAAACGGAACTTGTAAATGTTTTTCAAAGTTTATAAATTTTAAAATATTTTTCGGAGCGAATTGCCCACACTTATTTTTTCTCATTTCATTTGTTGGTAGTTGTGTGTATATATGTGTACAATCATGTTCTTCATGTGCTTTTAACTTCTCTATATTTAGAAAAGATTATATGCAGCTATCACAAATATGAATTGATTCGCGATGTTTTGTTTTCTGACTTCTAACAAGTCGTGGCAAGTCTGTAATAAGGTTATAATGATTGTTTCTATCACTATCTGATACTAACAACAGATTCACGTGTGAAGGTTGTCGGTTGGAAGTGAAATGTAATGGACCAACAACTTTATAATTGTCTTTACCGTCTCGGAAAAATGATTCAAGTCCAAACACATTCACTGATTTATTCATAAACTCTAATTTTTTAATATCTTTTAACTTTACGGGGAAGTCGATACCTCTAAAGTCTTCGGCAGGAGAAATTGCTGCATTAATGGACCAAGCGAAACAATAATATATAATAATGTTTATTCATTTAAAAAATAAAAATATTACATATTTTTGTATTTTGAATATTTTTTTCATTATATTGATATTAAAGGAGTCGAATAAACCCATTTATGTCCTTGTAGGATGCGCATGGGTATTCGACTGCTTTATATCATAATAAAATTACAATAATAAATGACAAATTTTAAAACAGATGTGCACACTTAAAAAAATTATATATAAAATATTTTTAATAGAGCTTAAATGTGTAAGATTGTTAAATATATTTGTATTATATCGCTTCGCAATTTCAGATCCGACTACTAATCACTCAAAAATTGCATGAATTAAAGTTAATTGAGTATTTAATAAATTTTTTTTGATAATTTGCTTGAATAAATGTTTTGAGTTTATCGTCAATAAATACAATTTGTACATATCTGGAATAAAGTTGTAAATTTTACTTATTAAGAAATTAAAATGTCTTTGTCCAATTGATTTATTTGCCAAGTAAGTTTGCACATGACCTTGTTGTTTAATTCTGGTGTTATCAACAAGTGTTAACAAGTGTTATCTTTATTTTCAATATTCAAGACAGCATTTCTATTAATTATTGTCACATATATGAAGAAGCTGCAATACTATTGAAACGTTTTATGTTCTCATCTAAAAACATTATCTCCTGTAAACTCCAATTAGAATCTTTTTATTGGAATTCGAAAGCTTGTGTAAAAGTTCGGATTTAAATGCACCATATACTTCTTCTAGATTAGACGATGTGGAAACAATTTTGTTTGCAGAATTCATGGATTTGATATCTATCATTTCCTTATCAGGTTTAATATATATCCCAAAATATTTCCTTATTTATTTTTAAACTTGTGTGATCTTGCAAATATTCATTGATTTTTTTTATAACTTTTGGTTTGACTCCATTAAAAAGTCATTGTAACTGATTTTATTTTCAATACTGCTGGAAAATCTGTGTGACGCAATCCTATTCTTGAAAGCATGAGTTAGTTTAGTAACGCCACTATCTAATACTTCAACGCCTATTGGTCTTAGTATCTTTTTCGGAACTGGACATTGTATTTCACGATCCACACAATTTCTGAGCTGGTGTCGCTTCAGATTATATGCGTTGGAAAATAATTGTTTACACCTATTACACCGCATGTTGTTAACTCGCCTTATGTTACGAAACTAAAAACGCAATGAATGCAGATTTCCTTAAATAGAAAGAGATGACGTCACCAATGCCATGTGTTTGTCAAATGTTAAAAAATTGCATCAGAATATCGTTATCATTCCCAGAGATATTAAATTACATGACAGATGGTCAACATGTGTTAAAAATATTCCGTGGGAAAATGAAGTCGTCATCATTCCCAGAGATATTAAATTACATGCCTGATGGTCAACATGTGTGTAAATATTATATGCGGGGTTTGATGGATGTATTATAAAAATATTTTTTTAGACCGGATGCAGGTGTTTACCAGAAAATTTCCTCCGTTTGCTCTGTCAGGGGGTTTCCTCTGTTTGCTCTCTCAGGGGGTTTTCTCCGTTTGCGTCACCATTTCCCAAATGGAATTTTTCTCTAAAATAATTAGGAAAGCCAATAATTGACCCCATTTAAAATTACATGGAATTTCCTATGTCCCGCTCCTCAACGATGCAGCAGCGGCATAAATAAAAGATATATGTATAATAGCTTGTCCTTTACTGTTTTTTTTTATTTTACGAAAATCACTATTTTTAATTTTGACATATAAAGTGACATTTTTTGTAATCGCAGTAAAAGTGTCAAAATGATCTGCTTAATAATATTATTATGCAACTGTTTACGAAAATTTCATTATTTCACCAGTTGTGAAGAGAAAACGACTAAAAATAAACCTTTCTTGGTTTTAAAATTAATATATACATTGTTATTAAAATTTATATTAAAATTTCAAATTTTCGTAGGTGTCTAAAATAAATAGCAATGTCGTCTGAAAAACTGAATATATCTTCCGAACTTCTAAACGAAAATAGTCCATTTAACCAATAGATCGTGTCCGCAGTTCGAGTTAGGGATTATATACCTTTTTAATTACCTTTATACCTGTCATATGCGTTTCCGCAGTTCGAGTGCGTCCAATTTGCCGATGGAAAATATTACAGGTACTTCTTATTCTAAACTTTATAGCTAATTAATAATATAAAATAATAAAAAGAATATGTACCTAAGTAATAGAATAAAGGCTAAATATTTAAACTAGGATTTCCACAAGAAATTCAAGATATATATTTCCTTGTAGTCTCATGAAATAGATGTGATATATTTCCTTTTCTATATACCGAGCCTCTAGTGAGAGATGTGTCGCCTGGGGTATGAACTTAACTAAAGTTACTTGGTAATAATGGTTAAAAAGTCCCGGAATCAACTAAATACTTGTAGTGTCCGTTTGTGCACCCTTGGATAGTACAATGTGATCTCTGGGTAAATGTGCCTCAATCAATCCTAACTGGATAATGTGGAGTATATACAGGAGTATATTCAGAAGTATATACAGGGTAGAAACTAAAGATAGAACGGACACGGCCTAGAAAGAAGTAAGTCTACATGAGTATTTATTTTTATGTTCAAAATATAATAAATAACGTTGATTATAACCTATAATGCTTACCAGGTATGTAATGGGGCCTTGGGTGAATGTGCTTGTTTCTAAACAGGGAATACTTAAATATGAATCGAAGTAAACTGTAGCTATGATCTCTTTTAAATCCAATTATTCGGAAGAGTTTCCAACTGGAACAACTCTTAGTAGTGTAACGGCCCACCCCCGGCACGCATTTTCGTAACGAGCGTAAGCTATCGCAAGACAAGTTGAGCCGAACTCCTCGTGCATACCGAGCGTCTGATATCGCAAGCTATATGCTATACTGTACGCTCGTTACGAGGATAACTACTCCATTGAAATAATACAACTTTTAAATGAATGAGCACAAATTACATATAATTAAAAATAATAATAATATACACGTATAATATGCAGGAAATAAAATAATAGTGGTATACTTACTAATTTTAAACAACGAAAATAATCTTCCATTTCTATTCTAGAGAAGATAAATTGGTAGTAATATGTATAAAAGAAAAAAAAACATAAAAAATACGAAATAGTTATTTTACAAATTTATTTTCTCCGAGCCCTACATTATTTTTAACACAGATATTTAATAAGTGAGGAGCTTTGGTTTTTCTTGTTGATAATCCTTTCACTTTTTTCCAGCTTGAATTTTTCTTCTACCAGTTATCAATACTTTTCTTTTCGACACCGAAGTTGGTTGTACTGCTATCTTCTTTCCTTTTTTTGGAATAGAAGTAGAAGGCACGTTTGACGCAGGTGTACCATAATTTCGAAAAGACATGATTAGGCCAGTCATAAGCGTAGAAGGATATGTTTTTTATAATTGTTCATAAAACGTTCTACAGCTGACGAAAAACCATGGGGATCATCATTTAAATTCTTCCTTACATCGCCATCTAATTTATTAATAAAACTGCTCCATTTATCTTTAACGCTGTCCAAATTTTCTTCGGGATTAATTGAAATTTCATCATCGTTGTCTTCAACAAACCGAATTGATAAATTCTGTTTTAACAAAGTAGTGTCATTGTTATTATTTATATTTTTTTCAGCTTCTCTAATTTCTAATTCCTCCTTGTTAGTTTTCTTATAGCACTGTTCTAACTTTAAAGGCAATAACATATTTTGTGTGGGTTCTATTCCAGTTGCAATTTTATAAATAACTATTTTACTTTTTTCGGTTAAAACATTACAAGCACTCGTTATATTGTAGTTTTTGATGACAGCTGATTGGTGTTTACATATTTTACCAGTGGTTCCTTGAGGACAAGTGCATACATTGGAATTCATATCGACAAAATATATAATTGTGCTGTCTTTTGAACTCACAACTTGGTATTGCATTCCTCTCAGTTCAGATATTTGTTCTGGAACAACATCTTTATCGTTCGGAGATAATCTATTTATTGTAGTTTTATTTAATTTATTCATCACTAAATCTAACAGACTCTATTTATAATAGGCCTCAAAACTGGTAACAACGAAGTCAGCTAGCTGTGTTAAGTTATAGGCTTTGGTTCTTTCAAGCGAAATATCTTTAAATAGTCTAAACATAACTTCAATATAATTGTTGGTTTCTGAGCCTCTTATCATTAAATGTTGTCTAAAAACAAGACACCAAGACTCTAAACTGTTATTTATCATATTCTGTATGTAGTTTTTGTATTGAGGATATTTAGCACACATAGCGGAGCCTTGAAATTCTTTAATACTTTCTTCCATTTTAGTTTTTATTTTAGATAATAAAATGTTTCTAAACAAATGGTATAATGTTTGCCTAACGGCCTTATCAATTTTATTTTTTATTAAAGATAACCACTTACAAACAGCTTTTAGTACGTGAAATGTACACAGATGTAATACAGAATTAGGCCAGTACTTTTTCAATATATTGCGCTCCGCCCTATCATCATCCGTTACTATTACTGAGGGGGAGATTTTTGTAGGAAAAATTTGAATTGAATTTTGCACGGCAACATCAAAAACTTCACTCTTTTGGGAGCTGGTTATGGTGCAACCTAAAGGGAGTCCCCCAGCTGGTGACTGTGTAGCAAAAAAATATAATTTATGATTGTGTACATCACAGATGCTGCACGCTGCATTATAGGCGTGAACAAAGAAATCGTGTAATGCTCACCCACATGGCCAATTTTATACAACACACCACTGGTGTTACTTAAATTATTTTCTAATTGAGTAAACATCTCATCGCCAGATCTTTCACCGTAATGACTTTTGAAATTTGCTTTCCAAAGATTAGAAAAATTGAATTTTGTAGGAAAATAATATCGATCAGCTACCAAATTATCGTACTGGTCGCCAAGCTCTTCCATTTTTTTCAAACAAAAGGTATTGTAGGCCGAAGCAGCAGAATGGCCTTTTTCAAATAGGTTTAAAATATCCTGTTTGGTTTCTTCTCCTATAGGTCTTTTAGTTAAAACAGTAGCACTATCTACAGCATGATTATGCTCGTTTTTGAATGTTATAACACATGGCCAATCAGAAATTAAAGCATCTATTTCTTTAGCTCTGGATTTTTTATTAGGTTTTCGTTTAATTACAATAATCAGCTTGCAAGGACAATTTAAATTTTTAGAAGCATGTGCCCTTTGCCTTGGGAGACTTGCTTTGTTTATTTTGGTTTTGAATTGGCAATGTTATATTCGCTTAAAAATATATTTTTTTGACTTTAACGCAGGAGTTATTGTACGAGTAATATACCATGTACTTTTTGTACAATTTTGTAAATCTTTGACCCATTTCTGAAAAAGAAAAGAACAAAATGGTATGTCTTTTTACTTTTAGTTCCATAGTCACGAGTAGGGGTGGGCGATTATTAAAATATAATAAAATATAATAAGAATGCAATATTGTATTTAATAGATGGGAATAAAAAATTATTAAGATACCTGGGTACGTTAGATTACACACACCCCCTAGATAGATGTTAATTGCGTAGTAACATTGAAAAGTTTAGTAGTTAACATCTTAAACGTTTACCAAGGTCTGTAATAGGCTCGTTCAGCCCATTTTTTTTATTACATATTCTAAAAGAGCGTGTTGAGTTTAGTAGTTGTGCAAAATTTCATAATTTTCTGTGCCCGTTTTCATATTTAAATAATTTATCTAAACGCTGCCAATTTAAAACACGTCGCACTCTTGACTATGCACTGTGACGTCACTGCATCTCTCGCGTCGTACAGGTGCAGGGTAAACGATATCGTCGCTCACCACGGGCATTGCTTTAACAAGTTTTATTAGTTTGGTATTTGCATCTGATCGAACAGGCTGTTTGTTTATTGAATCATATATTTGATTTTTTATTGTTTCCTTGACGTTCAGTATTTATAGCATAATTATGGAAGTAGAACAGATAAAGAAGAATTATAAATATTGTATAGTTCCGAATTGTAAAAACACTACTGTGACAAGCCCTGCTAAAATTTTTATTACTTTGCCAAAAAATATAAAAACAAGGAAGTTGTGGCAAAAAGCTATGCGTAGAATTGACTTTGTGAGCGATAATTCAACAAAGTATTGCTGTGAGGATCATTTTAATGTAAGTGTTTTTTGTAATTATATAAATTATATTATTATTAATGATGTATATTTCGTTTTAGTTTGAGGACGATGTGGAAAATTACACGTATTATAAGCTAATGAAAAATGTAAGAATTAAGATAAAGCCGGGAGTGGTTCCTCATATTTTTGACTGCCAAAACACACGAAAATCTGCGCACACTAGAGATTCTCGAAGTGTTTTTGTTAAGAGACAACGGCAACGAGATTTAGAAGAACCTTCCACAAGTATAAAGAGAACTCGATTTTCGTCGTCAAGCAGCGAATCTAGCATAAATGTTTCGCAAATCGTACTAGATAGTTCTGAAAATACCGAGAGGGAAAGTCGGCAGGTAAATAAATGTGTTCAAGTTAATATAAAGGCCACAACAATGAGATCAAAATATGTTCAGTGTAATTTATTAAGGGCAACAATTAAGGGAAAACAGAAGCAAATACCATCAAAAAATTTACCGAACACATGTTATTCCCCTACCAGTAATTCAAGTTATTCGGATCATTCAGCGTCCTACAATCCTACATCTGATGACTCTTCGTCAACGGAAAACGCTGAAAAAGAATTTAATAAGAAGGAAAATATAGAAAAGAGAACTGTTTTTCTTATAAAAAAAAATCCAAAAATGTATATTGGGATACCCAGTCACTCGCTCTTTATAGTTGACATGCTTTGCACAAGTTGTCAGCTAACAAAAATTGAAATATTTGTAACATTGAAAAAAATTAAACTTAATCTTCCATATAAAATAATAGCAGATGATTTTTGTATATCGGCTGCAACAGTTTGCTCAATAATTAAAAAAACAATGCCAAAATTAGTTGAACATTTGAAGTCATTTATTCAGTGGAAATCTCTTTCGGAAATTCAAAAATGTTTGCCAATACCTTTCCGAGCAAGATTCAAAAATGTGCAGTGTATAATCGATTGTTTTGAAATATCCATTCAAAAACCAAGAAACCCAATCCTGCAGTCACTTTCTTGGTCAGAATATAAAAAAAGCAATACCATGAAATACTTAATAGCTTGTACTCCTGATGGGATTATATCCTATGTATCTAGAGGTTTTGGTGGCAGGGCTAACGATAAAATGATCGTGGAAGAATCTGGATTTTTAAATGTGTTAGAAAATGAAGCACATGTCATGGCAGACCGTGGTTTTAAACATATCGATGAACTTTTAATGACAAAAAATAACATTTTAATTAGACCACCATCAGTTTCGGCAAATAAGAAAAATTCGAAGCAAGAAGTCAAACAGTCCAAAAGGATTGCTAGTTTGCGAATTCACGTCGAAAGGGTCATATCAAGAATACGCGAATATGCCATTTTAGAGCCCCATGCTTGTGTTCATTCGAACTTAATAAAATATTTAGATAATATTGTAATAGTAGTATGTGCATTAATAAATTTACAGGATTATTTGCTAAAATAAAACCATAAAATATATGTTTTAAATTTTATTGTAAATAGCCTTAATCCAAAAACTTGTTAAATTATTCAACATTGTATCAACAAATTTTTTATCATAATCACAATATTTGTAAGTTATTTTGTTGTTTTTCTCAAAATCTGGGCTTGCTACAACATAAAAACTTTTTTGTCTTTTTGTAATATGCATCTGCATTTGTATTTGGTAGTAATATTTACTTTTTATATTACCATCAACATCAATAAAGTTATGAAACGTCTTATCTAAAAAAGGGCATTTTATTTCTACAACGTACTCTTCATTTATGGCATCTGGACTCGCACCTATCACTGGGCACTCTTGTGAAAGAAAGAGTCCACATTTGTGAAATATTTGGGAAGTTTCCTTGGAAAGTACCTTCAGGACAGCTTCCTCTAAATCAAGACCTCTTTTCATGGCTTCCGTTTGGAAAACTTTGGCACCCAAAATATTTTCTACTAGTGTTCCATCTAAGGTAGCACAGTGCGCAGCATCATATGCTTTCGAGGCTGTTATACGTGCGTATCTCATTTCAGACCATAGGCTACACCTAGACTGGTTCCTAGTTTTAATTTCGATTTGTTTAAGCAAATCTTCGTCCATTTGTTGTTTGCAATAATCCAAAAATATATATGCGTCATTTATATTATTAGTGGACATGAAATCAATTTTCATTCGATGAAGGGAAACACAATCGTAATTCTGAGAAATATGGTACCTCATAGTGCTATTTTCAATTTTTCTTTTTTTTGCTTCAACAATATACTGATTTAAAAAAGAATCATTTGAAAATGTAGATGGTTTGGCGCCAAAATCTTCGGTGGTTATAAATTTTTTTGTACTTGAAGCTCCTGCTAAAACTGATCTCTTCCAATAACATACTTTGTCGGTTGGAGATGGCTCTTCGCTTCTACGGTGTACCCACATTAAAAAAGCCACTGCATGTTTGCAACCTCCCTCCGAAGCTGGACAATCATGACAATTTACCTCAACAACTTTTTTTTCCAATTCGTTGATTACACAAGATACTTGATAATTTTTAGCCTTTATTTTGTGTTCTGGAGTGACCCTCGCTTTTAAATAGCATATATTATTGGTACGCTTGAGCTGAACATAACCAACAGCATTGTCTCCATAATGTTTACGGGCAGACCTAAAACAATATAAAAACCACTTACTAACAAGCTAGTCATATTAATTTTATAAATTATTATAATTATTCATTCCAGCTTTAGACTTTTGTATTGGGCATATAGAATATTTAGTAAGTCCAACAAAATTTATTACAGCTTCTTAAAAAAAACAAGAAATAATAGAAAAGTAAAAGTTTCAAAAATTGTTGTAAACGTGTACCACTCCAGTGGGCTGCGTGTTCATTTTATTACATTTTAAAAAGAAAAGGAAATGACCTGGACATGAACAACAGTAATATTACATTATAATATACTATATTTAATATATTATAATAGTAACAGTGATAATACATTATAATATAATACTATATTTAATATATTATAATATTAAACAATAGATATAAATGACTTACTGCTGCATTTTAACACCCCTCAATTCTGCACTGATGAAATCTCGGTTTGTATTGAAGTAGTCCATTACCATAATGACATCCACTTCCGGCATATTGGAGGAATCGGCCTTAACATAATCCGCATCACACATTTTTTTATAACAAACGTATACAAGAACTATACTAGAAAACAACACCAAACTACGAAAGTGCGAATACCGCTGCAGCGCGCTGCTTAGCTTGTCTTGACTCGAAAGATCCTATGACGTCACAGTGGTAAATTTCCCGCGAATAAAATATTTTAATATTTAAAGACGTGTAACTTTTTTAATTTTCATTCAATTAAGCTGAAATTTTTTTTGTGTGTTTTATGTAGGTAGTACTTGATAAAAATGTAAAAAAACACGGTTATAGAAATTTCATTGAACGAGCCTATTTCGTGCCGAGTCAATTTTTTTTATAAATTTATAAGTGTAAAATCTTGCATTGCTATCTAACTAACAAATGTGCAGCCTAAGATCAAATGCACAATATTAACGATCTAAGAGTATACATATTGATAAAGAATAAACAATTTATGGCTACCTAAGCCTAATAACCTAATAACTAAATAAAAATCAAAGCTTAAATAACGTAATATGTTATTCTACTTCGCAAACGTCGTAAGTCCACATTTTAATTTAAATGTGTTTTTGGTGACATCTAGATAAGAATATTGAATGAATGTATATTTTATTAATGTATATTTTTTTTTATTTACTCTAATATGAAAGCCAAAGACTTTTTTTTTTTTTTTTGAAAAATCGGACCGAATGGACTTACGGCCTTTGTGAAGTAGGAACGATAATGAATATAATATTTACTTGATGCTCGTAAATATTAACTAAATTTAATGTCTCAAATATAAAAGTATTTAAAATTATATATATATTTTTTTATAAGATCTGAAATTTTTTTTTTTGACTGATATAATACATTTATTTTTGATAGTTAATTTACAACAAGTTGAAAACCTTTTTTTTCTGCCAGCTCCTAAACCCTATTTGTATGGCATAGGCACTCACAACACCTTCCCTGTTTATGTTTCGCAAGTATACCTGGCATCGGTCCATAAACGGGCACTTCTAACTCAAAAACCGCCCGTGGTCCACTAACTGGTAACTTCCTTCGGAGTCCATCTGTGTCGTTTCGTAAATGTTAATGATTTCTTGGATGTCCCTTCCAGGGGTCAATGGACGTCCATCTTTGGAGTACTTCACTTCTACGGATCCATCTGTTTTTTTCGTGAAGGCTAGCTTGTGCAATTTCCTTTTTGCCCAAAGCCTGTTTTTAAAATTTAGTCGCACTTGTTGTATAGTCATTTTATTTTCCATATTCCTTTCGTTTGCACGGTTTGACTTTAAATGCTTGTTTGTGCATTAATCGAAGATTTGTTTAAATATCCCTTCCTATGAGTGCTAATAACTTTAAAGATGCCAACAACCTAGTCATCCTAAGTGGCATCCCTTTTGGTTGTTGTTATTTCCCCTTTTTTTTAGTCGGTGTGGTATAGTAATAAATTATCTGTATTATATGTTCCTTTTTTCTGATTTCCGTTAATTGTAACGATTTCATAAACGTTATCATGTAGGATATCTGTAATCCTATAAGGTCCCTCATACAATAATCCAAACTTTTCCGTCACACCTTCAGCTGCGCTTGATACAGTACGTGTTTTTAACAAGACAAGGTCGCCGATTTTGTAGGTAACACATTTGCTCTCTTGCTGACGTGCCCTTCTTTCTGACATTTTCATCAAATGTTTCTGTACCTGTAGTTTTAATTCTTCTGGAGGCTTCATTTGCTCTTCCTTCAGATATTTGTTTATTACTCTATTGAGTTTGTATTCCGGACGTTTTCCCTTGACCAGTTCTATGGGAGTGCATCCCGTGAGGTATGATATTTAGGCAGTCTTCAAAATTTGGTAGGTAGGTAGATGGCCCAACTGGAATGCCTCTCATGACAGTAAGTGCGAAAAAGGCGACCTAACTCTTTCATATACCTTTCTGCTGGGTTTGGTTTTGCGTTTCTGATGGATGCATAGGTAAATTATATTCCATTTTCAGTTAATTTCTTTCTCCAAAGTTTTGACGTGAATTGTGTTCCGTGGTTACTAAGGATCTTTTTGGCTCCCAAGATAGGTACTACATTCTCTAAGAATCTCTTCACTTTTGCTGCGGCATTTACCTTTTTTAATGCAAATAGTTGTACATATTTAGAGAAGATATCGACTGTTACTAGTATGTAGGTTACACCCCCTCTTTGGGTAGTGGCCCATAAAAATCCACGGCTACTAGCTCTCCAACAGTTTTTGCATGTATAGGTCTCATCGGCCCATGCGGTAGTTTATTTGATCTTTTGGCCTTTTGACATATGTCACAGCATGATGTATGTGTTTACGCATATTATTCCAATAGAAATATAATCGGATGATTGAAAATGGTTTTCAAGCAGCAAAATGATCCATCTCAAGGTGGTCCTGTTTAATGATTCTTTCTTGTAGGACTTTTGATACGACAATAGTTTTACTTTTCCGGAAGTGGTCGATGTGTAATATGATACTTTCTTCTACCGTGTAGTTGTCTGCAACCCTTTTTATGGCTTGGTCGGTCGTGTTTTTACCTTGAATGTGGCTTATTATTTTGAATGAGAAAGGGTCCGTTTCTTGTAATTGTCTTAGGTGGTTTAGGTCGTTAACAAGTGACCTTGTCCCTTCTACGATGAAGCTTGCTAATATCGGTTCGTCATTTTCTCGTACAATTTCTACGGTATCCGCCAGGTACCTGGAAGGTATATCAGCTACTGTATTGTCTAATCCCTTAATGTGTATTATTGTAAACTCAAATTGTTGTAGGAAAAGCAACCATCTAGTTATTCTTTCATTTAGGAAACAGCATTGTCTTAGGAATAAGAGGGCATGATGATCTGTTTTAACAATAAATGGGACGCCTTGTTAATATAATCGGAACTTTTCAATGGCATATACAATGACCAAAAGCTCCTTTTCAGTGGTAGTATAGTTTAGTTCCGGGCCTCTCAGACTTCTACTCAGAAAACACACCACTCCTTTTTCACCCGGGTTTGGTTCTTGGTATAATACCGCCCCGATGCCATAATACCGCCCCGATGCCATAATACGAGCTGTCTGTCTCTAAGTAATACATCTGTTTATTATCTGGATGGATTAGTGTGACACACTGGAGAAACTGCTCCTTAATTTCGTTAAATTGTTTTGCCTCCTTCTCTTTCCAATTCCAAGTGGCTCCCTTTTTTAGCAGAGAATATTGGAATGAGAATGTAAATGCTTAGTCGATGGCTTTGCTCAAACGAGTCACAGGTAGAGGGGGTACGAAGTAAACAAAACTTGTTGGCGCGTGGTTAACGAAAAAGCGATCAATAGTTTTTATTCCTTTTAAAAACTAAACATCAGTTGCCGACGTACAGGCCCGGCCTACAGAAATTGTAATACAATTGTTCGGACGTGTTCTGAACCCAATCGTTATTCGTTTCTTCTCACATTTTAATAATATACACACAAATTAAAATTAATGTTTAAAAATTAAGTTGACAAATCAATGACAACTACAAAACAATAATAAAATCTAAGTATAATATAAACGTAGGGAATTATGTCAACATTAGGCGGTGTTCTGTTTTATTTATTAGAACCTTCTGAAATTGAAACAATTTTGAAGAAAATTGTAGATTTTTTTGAGCTGCGGTTTCTTTTACTAAAACAATGTTTTAGTAAACATATAAACCTCACTTTAAGCAACCCATTACAATGTTCTATAAATGATTTAATTGATCTATGGCAACTATTGTATAACTCTTTAGGATGTTTTTGTGGTTGTTACATAGGTATTTAAAGTTTGAATCTACAATGATACTCAGAATTTCCTAGAATTAATGATTATAAAAAGATTTAACCGAAGTGAAAATAATTTGTTACCTAAGACAAAATACATGAACCTTCTTAGATGTAGCTCTCTCATATTAAGTACATTTGCATTTTACTAAATATAAACATTTTGCTACCAGGAAAAGGGGCATTGACATGCATCATTTTAAGATAGGAATTGCATATCTAGAAAATTAATATTGTTTTACTAGCTAGATAAGTATGCAGTGCAACTTACTAATTGAGCATTTATGTAGTTGACAAATAAATATTCTGGAATCTCTTGATCATTATCTGATGGAGCCTTTATAGCAACATGAGTACAATCAAGACACCCTACTATTCCTGGGATTATATCACTTATTATGAAATCTAAAAAATGTATATAAACATACATTTTCAGTCTTTGGCAACCTTTGCGTTAACTTACTCTTGCCTCACACGACCTAGTTTATGTAGATTACGTAAATACAGGAAAAATGTATGTAAAATGTCTAATCTGTTCAATACTTCCACAATTTCATTAACTGAAAACTCCCCGTTTAAGGCCTATAAAACCTATACTATATAATATGTTACATCTTGAATAACACCAGAGAATTTTTAAAAAAGATTTTATTCTTGAAAAGTATTGTTTTTTGTAGGTGAGTTGTTCTAAAACTAATTCTTAAATTTGTCACCCCTATTTATAAAGTAAATAATAGATGCCGCAGAAAAATCCGTAAGTGACAAAAGTGTTGAATATACAAAAAATTTAAATTAATTATGAAATAATATACAATATGTCTTTTAATATAATCGTATATTACGAGTATAACGAGTGAATAAAATACAAGATAGGGAGTATTTGTATGCATTTATCTTACTTTCATTTCTACAAAGAGTGCTGATACTCTACTTGGAGATGTTATAACAAGCGTAGTTACAATATAGAAAATCGAAAATGCTTGATAAATGACCATTGCTAATTCCGAAAGGATTTTTATAAAGAAACTGCTTTCTTCTATGTTGTCGCTCTCAATAATGTTTTGATTTTCAACAGCTACCAAATATCAATTTCTTTAAAATCTGCCTCATCCACTTTATGGTATAATGAAAAATTAAAAATAACAATTTAACAAAATATTCACAACAAATATTGGAAATTACCACCTCCCACTTCTTGTAAGCCTGCACTTCTATTCGATTATTAAAAAACGATTTACAATCAATTCACGAGTTGAAAAATGTCTATCATTATTTTAATTTCTGATATTAATTTGCCTCTGTTTAATTAAAAGTTCTACATTTTTAATTTCATCTGGAGGCAGATATTCATTTTGTTCAATGCAAATATTATGAAGAATAGCACAAGCTATTATTACGAGGGCGGGTCAATAAGTCCGTGACTTTTTGAATGAAACACAGGTTTTTAGATAAAAAGTTATTTTATTTTTCAACGTAGTCTCCTTTGAGCTCTATACACTTAGCCCAACGTTTCTCCAGTTTTTTATCCCTTTCGAAAAATATGATTTGTCGAGGTCTTCAAAATAGGTATTTGTTTGTGAGATGACTTCGTCATTGGAGGCAAATCTCTTTCCACCGAGCCATTTCGTCAAGTTCGGAAACAAGAAATAGTCACACGGGGCTAGGACGGGTAAATAGGCCGGATGAGGGAGCAATTCGTAGCCCAATTCATGGATTTTTGCCATGGAAACTGCACATGTTTGCACCCGTGCGTTATTCTGGTGCAAAAGGACTTTTTTCTTGGCCAAACGCGGTCGCTTTTTTTTCAATGCCTCATCGAATCGACCCAATAAGTTGCTGTAATATTCACCATTGATTGTTTTTTCTTTTTGAAGGTAGTCAATGTGGATAATACCGCGTGCATCCCAAAAAACAGTCGCCATGACTTTATTGGCTGACAAACCCACCTTTGCCTTCTTTGGCGCCGATTGACCCCGAGAAACCCACTGTTTTGACTGCTGTTTGGTCTCCGGTGTGTTGTGGTGGATCCACGTTTCGTCCACGGTTACGAAACGGCGCAAAAACTCGTTCATATTGCGACTGAACAACGCCAAACATTTTTTGTGGGAAATTTTAAATAATCATCTTTCAAATTACATACAGTGAGCATCATAAGTCTTACCCACCTATCTAACTCGTTACTGCAGTCTTGTTAGGAAAATCGCCGAGATACGTCGATATTTGATTTCTACAATGTGCATTTTTGTATGAATAGTTTACCCTTAATTTCATCCCTTACTGGAGGGGAGCAACCCTTTCGAAAAATTTAAATGGCTTGGGGTGGTAAGTGATAGCTAATTTGAAAGGGAGTTTTATTGTCTATTCAACCGTGCAAAACATTTTGAAATTTGCTTTATTACGTGTTGATTTAATGTTTAAAAATAACAAAACATCACAAACAGGAAAGCAACTAAACTAACAGTGACT